CTGCTGAAATCATGTCAGTGTATTTAATTTGTTCAATATCCTAGTGTTACAGAGGACTCTGTTTCCCCCACTTTCTGAATGTGCAGTGTCAGTTACTCCTCTAAAATCTAGTTCAACTCTTGGCTCTTTGTAGGAAAATAATCTGGCTGAAATACAACAGTTTGAGGTCAGACAAGACACCATCTGACCTAAAACTCTAGAAAATTATTAAGCCTAGACATACCTACAACAATCGTATTAAAAATGTTTAAAATCATCTCCAGTTTCACTGCTGCAGAATTCATTTCAGACTCAGGAAAGGAAGGAACGTGATTGTTTCACTTTCCTTTCTGCCAGCTCCTTTTGTTTCCGCCTTCTCTCAGGGAGCAGTAGGAAATTCTGCATTTGAATTGCAAAAACTCAGGGTAAGGCTTACTTCCAAGTGGGGAACAAAAAAAAACAACAACACTTTCAAGAAGGTACCTCTACTCATTTGCCTTTCTACTCCTCCCTCTCAAGTTCTTCAACTGTATTTCACTTTTTCAAAAGCACACATTTTGAGTCAGACTTTGCCATAACAGGGCCTCCAAAATGAAGGCCAAGTTAACCTGTGAGCTCTTGCATTCTGAGTTGCTCTTTTGCAAAGCATCTCTTTTTTAAGAATTTAAATAGCAGCAGAATCGAATACACCTGTTTTCCTATATTTATTTCAAGCTTCTCTGCCGCACTCTTGGTCACAGCCCATTGGGCAAGTGGAGAAGACATGCTGTAGCTGAAGAAACAGGTGCTGACTCCTTTCTGGACAACATACAGAAACTCAACAATCCTTTGACATTACTTCAAATACCAAAATTTGGTCCCAGCTGGCTGAAACGTCATAAAGTAATGACAAGAGCATACTCAAGCAACTCCAAGGGAAGAGAACAGTGTCATAAATTTTGTTTCCCTAAGGAGTACTAGATTAAATATAAGCAGCAATGTACTACAAACAATTGTTATCAGCCTTTCTATAAACTACTCCCTCCTTTGAGATAGAGGAACCTGTACTTACATCTGAGACCTGCTTTTATCTGTGCCATTATGATTGGGCCTTAAGCTCAAATCTCCCCAGCCAGTCCTCCAGCAGTAAGTGGGGTGATTAACCTTAGTCCCCCTCATCTCATTACCAGCACAGCCCAGCTGAACTTCCTCAACAAAAATAAAAGTAAATTCAGCAAACAAAGGTGGCAGCCACCGAGAGGAACAAAAGGAAAGGTTGTCTCCTGCTCTCTGCTCAGATTGCAGCACAGGTACTGTCAGACAGACAGCCCTAATGTGCTGAGGGGGTGTCTCTCTTCTGGACTGTTTACAGCCCGACACCCTTTTTTGTGCCAGAGAACTTCCACAAGTAATTCAGGTTTCTCCCATGGCCTGTGTCAATAGTTTAAAAAAGTTACCGCACATTTATGTTTGTTTTAAGATGAACTAGACATAACTTAGTATAAACTATGATCAGTCCTCGATGTTTTCCAAACTACTTAAAACTATCAGAGATTACTGGCCACTAAAGCGCCTCAGGCTCCACCAACAATAAACCCATCGGTATTCTTAGTAACAAGCATAAGCACTGCACAGTGTTTCAGACCTTTCTGTTTCTGCAGGCTACAGGATTTAGGCTACTAAGTAG